AATGCTTAAACAGCAGAAAAAAACTGTAATGCAAAAACTTTCTCTGACTTCAGCAGCAAAATGATTAGAGAAGTAAAAAATTTAGGGAAGTAATTTTTGCATCTCAGTCTGCTTTGATTCACTGGGTGCAAAGACCTGGAACACGGAACTCCAGCCTTTAAGTTTTTTTAGTTAACTTTTTAATCAACTTTTGGCTGTTATACTAAGCAAATACATTGTGAAGGTACATAAAGCTAACTCTGCTTGGTGTCAGAACCTGCCCTGTTCTTCTGTTTACTGCGACATACTTCACATTGTGGATGTTTCCTCAGCTTCACTGCTTAGTGCCAATGTTGAAAAAGGAGGCAAAATTATCTGGTGATGAGTAAGACCTACTTCTGGAGACAGTTTTAAATTAATTCTTTTAAGAAGGTCTTCCCTCTTTTGTGCACAGTAAATATTCTCCACAGTAAAGCTTATGCACAGGAAACAAGGCTTTACACTTAGTGGAATACCCAGAACACTAAATTAATCTCAAATAAGGATTATAGAATTTATCTTTAAAATTGAGGAAATTTCATGAAGAGACTGGATGATGAAGAAAGCAGGATCAAATACTCAGTTTAGGCAATACCCAAGTTAGCATTTTAACTTTAAATGTCTTAGTACACTATTCATCTGCTACATGTGACCAATTAAAACCACAAACTCAACAAATTATCTTTATCATCAAAGAAACTTTATCACAAGATTTGATTCAAACGTCACGTTATATGAGAAATAATACAGTATTAATGTTCTAAATGTCTTTCTACAACATCTAATGTGCACCTTGAAATGTTTGTGAGGACTAATGAATGTTTCTGTATATGTAAAAGTTTCATTTTACCTTTGTATCTCAAACTGACAAGGTTTTAACAACCCTAAATATGAAATATGAATAAACCTGCAGAAACACAGCATTCATGAAATGAGATAGAGAAACTCTTATTTAACTTTTATCTCAGAGGTAAAACATCTGGGGAAAGACTCCAGGAGAAGCATGACAACGTTATGGAGCTATGTGAATGCATTTCGTAATAGAGCAGGTTGTGGGGCAGCTTGCTCCAGACACAGCTTCAGTATTGCTTGGAACGCATTATCAGCTGCCTCCTTGCACTGTGATTAGTGATCTCTCATGTGTCCATACATCTGTGTCGTCAACCATCCTCATCTTTGGTTTTACAGAACAGAGAAAGTACATCTTTAACTAAACTAGCAGGGCTTGTGAGTTTCTTAAGATTCCAAAGGAAAAATTTTTCACTTCCCAACAGAAACAAAATCATAAAGGAACTGATGTCAACAGCCATTGTTACCTATAACCCTTAAGAAAACAGCATCACCTAAAGACATGTGCATACAAGAAAGCAAATTAAAGGTCAATAAAATCACAAACTGAAACTGCTAAGGTTTATCCAGCTCAATTAACGCAACCTTCCAGAGAGTTTAGACAGGCTTCAGGTGTGACCAGCCACAGAAATGAAAAAAAACATGGAGGGGGCCTACCCCATCACAGAAGTACCAATTCCTAATGTCAAACCTTCAACTTACTTTTAAAGCAAGTATCAGCAAAATATTTTAAGTCTTCAGTTACCAGAGACAGTATTCATGTGGAGTAATTGCAGTTACACTCTACCCTGACTGACTCCAAGACGTTTTACAACTGAGAGGTGAAGACAATTTCAGTGAATTAAACACAAGATGCAACCTGTTCACCCCACTATTATTTTTACTGATATGTTAACTCTGGAAAGATGATATATTTTTCATTAAAAGAAAAAATGATCTATACCTCTTGGATGAATTACTTCTAGGTTTATTTTTGCTAGTCTCCTGATGATTGCTCTGCTATATAGATTAATGTTTAATGTGTAATTTGTCTTATCCATGTTACTTTGTACTTCTCATACACTGAGCTACTTGGATAAAACATGCCCAGTGGTCTGCCCAGTCCACAATATCAATAATGATAATTGATTCGTAATCTCTCCCATTGCACAGGTTGACTATTAATGATTAAGCCATTTATGGCATGCAGTTTCACAAGCTATAGATGAAAAAAGGAAACACCAGGAATGATATTCAACCTTTGCTTTTACGGTAGTTTTCTTTGTAGGACATTTAGGGAGTGGTCTGGTATCTCTTACATCACCTTCATGACCCTTCTCTCAAAAGACTCTTTCTGGGCTGTTGGAGTTATTTTGCTGCTTAACAACTGCAAGTTTTGCCCGACATTATGGTTGTCAGAGTTGGGCTGAAGTGCCTTCAATAAAGACAGCTTCTTGTACTCCTTTGCCTTTGAGAAAGCTGAGGTCTTATGTAGAAAAGAAACCTTTAAAAAGAAAATTGAGCTATAAAGTATGATATACTGCTACAAAGCAAATCAAGACCAGTGATTAGTGACCTTAACTGTACAGCTGGTATCTGTTGCTGCAGGCCATAAAGGGACGTGGAGCACTTCTGGAAGCTTTTGTGGAGTCATGTGCCTGTCATTCTTAAGTCAGGTGCCTGTTGTTCTTAAACATTCAGGATTAGTGACTCCACTTGGGGTTTGGGATTTTTTTTGAAAAGGCAGTAAGACGCCGATACCTTCTGCTTCCAAGACTGGGTAAGCATTTTGTACTAAACAGCCAACAAAATGCTTAAGCAATCCCTGGGAGCAGGGTGAACTAAAGTTCCACTCCTAACCAAATAGCTGTTGTAGTGACTAGAATTATCTTTCACTGATTTCTTCTTTCTGGTTCAACATTTTGAACTCTTCCCAATCATTCAATTTAGCAAAATAGGGTAGAGAATTTCCCTGTTACAAATAAAGAAATATTAGGGTATTTGTCAGGAATAAGAGTTGTGTGTTGCATCTATTCAGCATTTCCAAAGCAGGACTAAGCCACAGCCACGCTCCCATGTCTCCTGAATCCGATTTTTCATCACAGTGGTTGTCTGACACATTTTGTAACAACTCATTGCATGTACATGCTAGACAGCCTCAGAGCACAAACACTTCTTTCTGTCATGTAGAGGATGTCTTTGTCCTCCTGTACATGGAGTTTAATGGTATTTATGTACAGATAATGCTTAGATGGAGACAGTTCTGTGCACACACAACCAGTACTTCACTGACTCAAACACTGAGGACTTCAGACATTTTTACCACTTGAGCAGATGCTCTGATCATTGCTCTCTTCGATAGTAGTTTTGTCACCCGTGTCCATGTCTTTCTTTGTGCTCATAACCGTTCCATGGATCTTGACCTCATTATCCTGATTAAGAGCCTTCCAGCAGTCAGAAATGCATTATGACATTGGGATACTTTCCTATACACATTGCTTCTCCCTTTCGTATTCTGCACCCGATCATGCTTCTGCCCTCTGTACAAGGGATACAGAAAGAATAGCTGAGGCACTCACTAGCTAGCCATTCTTTTTTCCTGATCTTCACCATCTTTCCCTTTCCTGCCATCACCCGAGCAAAAGTAAATTCACATATCCTAGTGTTAGAGAATCGGTTCTAAATGGCACTGTCATTCTAAGAATGGAAATCTATGAATTCTCTTTTATGTAATTTCTGCTCTATATGGTAATTTCTTCTCCTGAGATAATTTTATTTTCCTTATCAGTTTCTTCACTGTAGGATATCGCAGGTGTCACACTTTCAAACTAACAGAAAAAAACCTGGGATTCTCAAGTTTTTCCTCTGTTAATTGGTATTTACCATACTTAAGTTAGAAAACATCATCTCTCTGGCAAGCAAAAAGAGTTCATAAGGCAGTCTTCAAAGTTTGCTTATTGACAGCAGTAAGTAGACTAATAAACACATCTGCTCTGATAAATATATCCAGGAAGAAGCACAGCAACAAGAACAAGATTTATAAGCAATTTATAAGCACTTGGCCATTCTTTCACATGAGGAATAGTGCCTGACCCTGCAATCAGCAGATTTCTTTACTGTAAAGCATTACTCATTGAAAAGATTCTGAAAGTCTAACTTAAATGTCTTCTTGACGGAGAAACATCCCAGTATAATCCTGTAGCATTTCACTGGAGATAGTATTCATTCATTGATAAAATTGGTTTGTGCTCCTGGTTAAAATTAGCATTCCTTTCATGTAAAGGCATGCTAATAACTGTGTTCCAGCAAATTGAGAAGTACAGAACTCATTTTAGGAGTAGCCACACAAAATGGTTTACAGATGTCATCTACAAAAGGCCTCAGATCATTAATATTCCCTTTTTTTGGTCTGTTGTTTGTGTTCTAATTCTTACCATGCATTTGCGATCATCCACCCCAGCTAAATCCTCCTCAAACTCCTTTCCTACATCAAATTCCATGATGTAGTTTCTAAAAGTGCTTAGCGTTTTAATGATCATATGATCCCCATTCTGAATGATTTCTTTGTCAGGTTTAAGCAAGTTTGCTATTTTTCTTACAGCAACATTTACATCTGAAAAAGAAAAAGAGTTATTTTAATCCAGAAAAGTCTACCACAAAATGAAACTTGTAGCTCTTGGGACAATTCAAATGGGAATGATAAGTAAATATCCAGATCTTTCAGGCCAGGTTTCTCATCAGGAAAAAGCCACAACCTTATGGTTTTAACTTAAATAAGTTAATGTTTTGATTTGCTGATTATGTGGAATCCTAAAACCCACCATTTGTATTTGACAGTCAATAAGGCCTTCAATATTTCTATAGAAATACTAGCACTTTACATCCAATGCAAACACAAAACTGCAGTAAGTACATCACTGTCACATAAAAAACATTTACTCTTTTTCAATTTATGATTGTTTTTAAAGTTTGAAGTCTGCCACTTACCTCTTCAAGATCTGATGTTTAATCTCTGTTAACGTAAGCTTCAAGATGGAAAAAAGTAGAGGCTGCTTAAGACAAAACAACTTTGCATAAGGCAATTCTTAAAGTGCATTCCTGAAAAATACTTCTCAAATGTTTATGACTGTACAAGAAAAAAACAGATTCACATAAAGACCAAGATGGGCTACATTTATTGATTATTAAATATAAACGGAACCTTACCCAGGGCTTTCAGATACTCCTCAAAATTGTCATTGCTGATCATTTTCCAGTAACCATTGAAATCCGCAGGCATCCCTGCTTAGGTGACTGTCAAAATCAAACACAGTGTGTTGATTCTGCACCACACAGCTCACTGCCTTTCTTTGTGGCGAGCTTGAACTCTGGTTTCCTTTATCTCTTTCTTAGCCTATGTAGCTATGCAAGTTCTTATAATCCGATTATTGTTGGAAATGTTGCTTTTAAATCCTTCCACAAAGCTTGACTGCCGAGATTTCCAACAACAGCAGGATGGCTTGATTTAAACAGAATGAAACATTCACCTTCCATTCAACTTCTGTAAGGGTACTGATTATCTGGATGACCACTTTAACCATATTGCTCTTCATTCTTCCACTTGGAAAAAAACCCTGGTAAATAGCTTTAGCTTAGGATATTAGCCAAAGCTATACAAGTGCTTATCTTATGTGGTTTTCACGAATTCCTTCTCCCTTGAATATGCTCCAGCTACCCTATGCCACCTTCTTTTCAGAAAACAATCACACAGACTCTTTCAGTGAAAGCAGTTTGTGTCTGGCATTAGTTTAACTTGTTCAAAAGCTCTTTAATTCTAGAGAAATTCTATCAGTGGAAGCTGTTCGGCCATCCAAGGGCTCAAAAAGGGCCACTTAGGTGGAAACTAAGGAGGAGTGGTTAATTCTGTACATTGTAAATGCTACATCACTACTGAACGCATGCTTTCAGTTAATTTAAGCAACACTGAAACACAGAAGTAGCACTTTATAGAGATTCTATATTCTTTGAAGGGGTCTTCTGTCAAAAAATGAGATGGAGTGAATAAGCAGAACAAGCAATCAACATAAGGATTTTTCTGGCTAATGTTAGGGCTCGAATACTGATAGCCTTTTAGCTATTTTCATCTGTTTCCCACAGTGTATTTTCAAATAGTAGAGATGAAGATCCTCTTGGATATGTCATTCAATCCAGGGCTTTGGCAATTACTCTTATAGAAGACTCTGGATAAGAGAAGCAAAGAAACCCACTCGAAATCGGGGGATGAGGAGTGTCTGTCATTTGTAAATCTGGAGGCTTAAAAGTGACATGAGTGGCGCATGCATTTTAAAGTGCAGACATCGAAGATTTATTCCCACCTCTTGTCTAAGCTGTCAAAACACAAAAATTATTCAGGGTCCTAAAAAGTCAAAGTTTAACAGTAATATATATTTAAATATATATATATATACACAAAGATAAGTTACAGTTCATGTATTTTGCTGCTTCAGAACAGCATCTTTATCCTAAAGCTCTCTGTAGGATTACAGAAGTACAGTTCAGGAAAGTACTATGTTTGGCCCTTACATATTGCTGGAGATTAATATTTATTGTTCAGATCTTACTTCTTTTGTTTTCACAAGGAAGCTGGTTTTTATGTATTTTAAGCTATGGAGCTGAGCATCCCAATTTCCTGCTCACTACCACAAACAAATCTATGAATTTAAAACACCAAACAAATTCAGGAGGTTTTGGACTGACTTATTTTCTCCTCATTAACAAGAACCAAGCTTCCTCAAGAACTTTATAGGAAAAAACTCTAAGTTTGTCCACTTGACCCACTACAGACATCAGTCATTGAGTGGGTTTACTGGTGTGCTATGCAGCTTCAAAGGCTCAAGCAAGTCACCTTCATTCTTCCGCTCACTCTCTTCTGTGTAGATATTATGGTGTGCAATGTAGGCTATAACAGAATCAGGAATGAGATACTTGACACTTAACCCTCTGCGCAAGGCATAGCGTATCTGTGTTGCACTGATTTCATTCTGAATCCATTCTTTCACCAGAACAATATTGTGCTGAAATTTAGATAAAAGTTCTGATTCTTTGATATGCTGAGCAGGATCAGAGCCAGCACGACTAACACAGACCAAACCAAACTTTTCCACTACTTCAGTGATGTGCTCTTCCTTCCAGAGATTGGGTGTCTTAAATGTCTGTAGAAAATCAGCCCCACAGAGCAGCTTTAATTCTGGTAGGACTGGAAAGAGAAAAAGAGAGATTTCTATAGTTGCTTGGTTTTTGAGGAAGGCTATACTTAAAATTGGTTTCAATTCATCACTCTTTTTTCTTTAATCATTTACCTTTACTCCAGTTTACTTCCAAAAGGTTGCAAGAAAAATTCAGATTGGATTTTATGTGTCTTGTCACAATTACTTTATCACATACTTTATCATAACTCTGTTTTCAGTCCCCTGGGGTTTCAGTCTTACCTGGGGTTTATGTCGCAGTTTGTTTTTTAACTAAGAGCAACCTCCATAACAAAACAGTACTCTGTCCCACACTGTATTAGAGCTAATCTGATGCCAGAGCTTTTATAGTGTTGATGGGTTTTCCCTGAATGTACGTGGATTACAGTTCTACGGTACTAGAAGCTAAATTAACAGATTATAGGCTGTTACAAAAAGGCTGTCAATTTTATAGATACATCTCCATATATCCCCACATCTCACATGCCAATGAGAAAAATGAGTCTTTGGCCCTTCAAAGGCATTTTGCTAAATGAGGACTGCAGTTTCCACTATAGATGATGATATAAAACCCCAAAATCAAGGAGGGATGGCAAATTCTTGGACACTGAAAAACAGAGAAAGGATTTTGTAGTCTTGTTATTCTCATCTTCATCCTGAGTAACCAGCACTAATAAGCTATTCTAAATGTGTAACAACTGCAATAATTTGTCTATACCTGTCCTCAATGAATCTTTTTATTTGTAATATATATTAAAGTGACCTGATTACTTCATGCGGAACAAAATCATGAGGTTCAGTATCTCACAGCACAGAAGTCTTACAGTTTAGTAGGGAGATATTTCGTAGACAAATAGTATATTATGGAAGCCTGCCAATGCTAAATTCAGCCATCAAGCTGATCTTTGTGAAAGTGTCACTTAAGTGAGTTAGCCTTTATACAAGAAAACCCCAATTCTACAGATTTCACTGTTGGCAGGTTTTTTTTTGGGGAGGAGGAATTAGGGAGCAGTTGCCTGCCTTTGAAAGTCTGTGCTAACCAACTTCTAATTTTGCACCATAAAATACCAGGTTGGAAGGAACCTTTCTTGGCAAAGCATAACCTAGACAAGATGTCCCAGCAGTCTGTCCAGCTGAGCCTTAAAAGTGCCCAGTGCTGGGGAGATTATTCCAATGGCTGGCTGTTCTCACTGTGAAAACAGAGGAGGAGAAAGGAGAAAAAGGGGAGGAACTTTGTTCTGCTCTGGAGTTCTCAGTAGTTCTTGATCATTCTCCATGTCATGCTAGTGAACAAAGGAAGTGGGAAGAAACCATTCTGCTCCTCTTGGTGGGCCACATACGTGTTTAGTATAGCCAAATCCGTATCACTGCCCAGTTGGTAAAAGCAGTGAAGACAGAAAAAGTAAGTAAAAACAAGATACCAGCAATCATGATGCTGCAATGTGGAAGAATCTGACTTGCTCACAATCTTTAACCCCATCAGACACAAGATTCTACTGCAGCCCAAATGCCTTGAACCTTGTTTTCCTCTACCATCTATAAAGATACAGCTCATCATTTGGAAACTTTTTTATAACCACGAACAAATTAAATGCATTATTCATGTTCAAGGAGTGCTGCAATACTACACAGTGTAATGTATCAAAAATCTAGCAGCATCCTACCAAGTCATAAGGCTAAAACAGGAAATCCAAACCTGACAGTACAGTGTTTCCAGAACCTGCCATACTTCTAATGTCAACAAAAGCTATTCTGTCCAGAAATGCAATGAACATCAGTGCATCAGCAGCACCGGTGTGATATTCATCTACTTCATCCATTGTTTTACACTAAATTACAATTCTAAGTAATCCCTATACTTTCTGATATTTCTTATTCATATATCCTGTGCTTTACAAAACTATCAGGGCCACAACACTCATTGCTGACACAGCCAAAGAGATGCTTATAAAACCAAGAATTAATACAATTCCAAAACAAATCTCCCATCTATGTGGGAATAACTGCAAGTCATGCTGGCATTTGCCATGGCTTGTTTTTGGCAGGCAGCTCCAACCCTCAAAATTTACCAGCTACTATGTTCAAGTTCTTCATCAATTAGTCTAATCTGGTACAGCTGTGTGATTTTTTATGCTAAACCAAGAATCATGTTTACAGTTATGAACCAACCTGAGTGCTGGTAAGAAAGGGAATCTTCTGTAGCTCTTTCTATGGGCCACTTGTTTTTCATGAATTCCTTCTTAGACTGGAGCAATCTGAGTGATTCGTTGTAATGGTGCCTGCATTTAAAATAAAGGCTTCTGTGTGAGGCAATCCTCTCAGACGTGCACAAAGCGATTACCTGGCACTTTCAGATTCAAGAACACAGTCTGCTTTCATGCACTTTGAATACATTTTGGTAAGAATTTAGCATATTCCTTCTGCCATGAGATCAGTAGCCATGCAGTTCACATTTTGCAGAATTCACAAGCAATCTCTGTAATGGCATTCGAGTTTTCAAATGCCTTTTTGAAATTCTGCCATTATGGCAATTTTACTATAACATTGCATTTGAAACATTGTGGAGTTTTTTGCTTGGAATAAGATTAAATCACACTTCATTCACTAGATTTAATTTCTGGATTAAATACAACCTCTTATGGAGATGTTTCCACAATGTGTGCTCAGTTTTCAGGAGACATTCTTGTTTTCTCTCATCCTCTTCTCCACAAAATGCATTCCCCAAGTTTTCACCTTGTGGTTTTCCCTTTCATAGAAACCCAGACTGGTTTGGGTTGGAAGGGACCTTAAGGCTCATCCAGTTCCAACCCCCTGCCACAGGCAGGGACACCTTCCACTAGACCAGGTTTCCCCAAGCCCTGTCCAATCTGGCCTCTAATTAAAAGAATCACAATTCCGAGAAATTCAAAACAGACAATTCTCTTAAGATTTCTGACATCTGTTGTGCTTCTAATTTTATCGAGTTGAGATCTGTGAAAGCAGGCAAGGATCCTTTTGTCAGTTTTTCCAGGTTTCTATTACTTTATTCTTTTGCTGCTCCTGATCACTGGTGGCCCACTGCAGTACTGGTACTATCACTTTTCGGTACTGGCCCCTTCTTTGAACATGAGAGCAAGATGTAAACACCTAAGTCCCTTCCTTTCAAATCAGCATGGGCTTGCTTGACTAGAATACTCTGTAACTTGCACCATCCTGAACCACACTTAGGCATTGCTCATACTGACATGAGCCAAAATCATTTCAGGAATCATGTTCATGGTTAAACAGAACAGGCAGGCATAAACTCAAGCCAGGTCACATCTCTGTCTGTTAAATGTACAGCCAAAGTGACCAATAGGCCTTATATAACTGTATCTAAGCAAAGATCATGAGTTACAAGGTACAGTTCAAATTCAGTATGTGTACAAAGCCATAGATAACCCTGTGAATGTCTGGCGTAAGAAATGAATTTATAGTTCAGTGATTTAAATGTACAGGCTTCAAATCATGCAAATACTTTAAGCCACAGGAACAAGTTGCCCAAGTGTCAAGAACCTACACCTAGACAGGCTGCAGAACAATGTCTGACAATACTTGATGCTCAGGCAGTGGCTAAAGAAACTGAATAGACATGAGGTGAGGGATATAAGGGAGTAGAAAGTAGGTAGCAGTAGCTTGGCCTGTGCTTTCCTATATTTCTATTTTGAATCCTGCCTTGCTGTAAACAGGCTGATGCTATGTATAGCCAAGCACACTAACTTTGCATCATGGACTGACATTCTTGGTCCATGATTCAAAAATAACAACTCTTGGCAAAGGGCTCACTGCAGGACTTACGTTACAAAGCCTGCAAAATCTTAACTGTCAGAAGGTCTGTTCAGCAGGGAGCACTTCAAGTGTTGGGGCAGTGAGGGTTCTGTTAAAGACACATCAAGAAGGACAAACCAATCTGTCAGTTTATTAGACACTTTCTGAAACATGTGTGAAGCTTTGAGTAACTGTGTAATTAAATCACAAGGACAATTCACCCATAGTTGGGTAAGAGAGATCTTTGTCAATTCTAAATTAATGCACAGTCTGTCTGAACCACAATCAAATCTATATTACAAGAGGAATGAATGTAGTTCTTTGGTTACTGATAATACTGTTTTCTTGTCTAGGAAGAATATTCACAAACAGCAGGGGAAATAGTACTATCGTGTTCCCTCTTCCTCTCTAAAAAAAGCCTTGGGATAGTGTCCAAAATTTCCATACTCATGCAATGTAACAGGCAACTAATAGCACCACCACAAGTGGGGTATGAGCTTTGCTGTTTAACATGCCATAGCTATTTAGGAGCCTCTACAAAATACACTGAGCTTGATTAAATATGACATTTTCATCACACTAAGGGAAAAGAAGCACTGTACAAAAAGGCCATTTATGTGTCTCGGGACACAATGTTCTACCGCAGTTAAGTGTACAATTCAAAATACTGATAGGAAGAGACATCAGGTACAATAATGGTTTTTGCCTTTGCCTTGCAATAGCAAAATCTGTCTATGGGTACTACAGTTTGCTACCTGAGGAAGTCTATAGTGAAGGCAGCAATTGGCTCTTCATTCTTGGACCAGGGAATAATCTACAGATTAACATTCAACACTTGTGAAGAAGCTCAACTCTACAATAAACCACTGCCTGTTTAGACTTGGTCTAAACAGGGTCTACCCCTAAAGCCACCTCATTTTTTAATACTCATATGTGATGGTTAAAATACATTGTAAAACCAAAATACCTACGTGTGCTCTTTCATCAGGATGCTGCTTACCCAATTCAAGGGACAGGGTTCAACATAATATTAATAAAGCTCATCTCTCCCTAACAAACATCTATTTAATTTATTTCTAAAACTAGAGGTTCAATTCCTAGGCAGACAGGAAGTTTGGCTGTTCATACCACTTTGATACTACCTTCCCTGAGCAGAAATTGATAAACAGGTTTTTATTTACCTCTTACCCTAAAGGATGCTGAAGTGGATTTACAAGGTACAAACTTGAACTTGCAAGTAGCATTTGCTTCAATTGGAGCTGTGCAAAATCGAAGGCTTTATAAGTAAGTAGGATCACCTTATCTGTAAGATTTGTGGCTGCTTCTTCAGAGGAATATAGTTTTACAAAACTGAAATTTAGGGACAAAACCCCACACCCAATCAATGCTGCAGGACAGACCTTTTGGTGATTTCTCACCCTGGAATACACAATTGTGATAAGAGAAAAGAACAGAAGCAATTAGCGTCGCCTAGTCTTCCTCCTGCCTTGATCCTATTCAGCTGGCTGGAGGGAAGGGGCAAAAGAAGCAACTGGATGTCTACGTTCGCACAGTGAGGCAAGTAAGAGCAGAAGTAAAAGGCTCCACTAGTTGTTTTGTAAGTACATAGGGTATTCTTATGTATGATTTTGTAAAGTTAAAGGTCTGGCTTTGAATTGCCTTCACAGGGAGTCATAAGAACTTTCTGGGCTGTTACTGGAAGGCACATTATAGAGCCTTAAAGCTATCCAAGCAACTGTTTCCAGTTAGTAAGTAACCTAGAAAATGTGGATAGAAATGAAGGATCATTGACAGTCCTTATAGCACACTTGCCTTCTTGAAATCTTTCACTTTAACAGCATCTGTTGACTTCTGTAGCATCTACATTTCCAAAAAGTGGTTAGCACAAGAAGTTTCTGTTCTCATACCTTGCCCCATAATGCATTTACTACCAAGACTAACCATACAGGCAAAAGGCATGTTTCAAGGTCCTTGCATCAAGTTAACAGGTTTTGGACAAATCATGGGTTTTTTTTTCTCCTTTTTCACAAAACCACATCAAATTCAGTGATTTTGAAGAAAGCAGCAGCAGTTATGTGCTTGGGTTTGACTTTCCATTAGACTTAATATGAAAACTTCTCAAGGATGTGTGAATGGATAAGCCTGCAGGCATAATTATGCTAACGCAGCTTATCTGGAATGGGGATGCTCCTGAAGAATAGGTTGCAAACTCTCTTACCATCTGATTAAGATCTCTGTATTACCTGCTCAGAGATTTAAAAACAAGAGAAATAAGAGCCAAAACCTTATCTGCAGAATTCTTTCAATAACTATAATTCTGCAAGACCTTTTCTTGGCAGAGACTTCCCACTTGCATCTAACTACTGAAATGGCACAAGTACAGTACTGGGGTCTTGCATAGGTCTGGAGAAAGCCTTTTGGCTTTGCACTAGGAAAGCAGAGATAGGAAATGCTGATGACACAGCCTTTTTGAAGCAAAGCTATGTGAATTTTCATTGCATATAATATTCTCATAGCAGATGATGCCATAAACAGACATATTCTGCTTTGCTTGGGTTTTGCTATTAGGAGCGAGATCTGTGCATTAACCTTGTAGCCTGACAGATTTTTGGCAATCAGTAACTTCATAAAGAAAGGGAAAAACAATGTAATTACCTTAATACTTTTACTGTCTCTATCCATGTCTTCTGCTCACTCTCCCATGGATCAACTCGAATCCAGTCAGATGTCGCCAGGGCTAGTTTAGCCATTGCTACCCGGTGCCTTGCTGAAACCAAGCCTTTCTTTCCATAGCCATCATTAACAGGAGATATTATGCCTTCAATCACCTGATACCCTCCTTTTGAAGAAAGGACATAGAGAATAAAATAAAAATAAGTCATCTTCAAAGATCTTGAAAATTTAGGGTGGAGAGGACCTTGACAGCACATCTAGTCCAACCTCCTCAAAGCATGGTTAACTTCAAATTAATAAGAGGCTATGAAAACTTATCTAGGCATTATTTTCCATACAGAAACAGCAATTTACATTAAAAAGCAACCTTCTTGTCCCTCTGTGAACTGCTCGCAATTACTATCAATATGTTTATCCTATTAGATGACTCAAAAGGAAATCTGGATGAACATACAATTTTCAAGCAATTAGAGAAGTTTATAATTTATGATGCAAACTATCAAAATCGCTGGATCTAATTAAGTTTTATATTCCAGTAAGTTCAGTTTTTCTAAAGCCAGAGCAATTGATGACTTAAATGACCATCGCTTTGTTCTTCAGGATCTGATGCTTGCTATTTATCAAAATCACAGTCTTTTCATTGTGTTAAAGCAAGAATTACAGCATATTGCTGCAGCTGTGATTAATGTGATTCAGACAAATCAGAAGAACAAAGATGAGGCTAATGGAGTCTAAAATAAGACTTACAGCACTATGGTCCAAACATCAGCTTAGCAGCCATTAAAGACCCTTTCTATGTGGCTGATCACATTAATTAAATTTGAAAATATGCCCATATTATTCTACTCTTGTAACACAATGTAATCATTAACACAACAAGCTCTTTTTGTTAGACTTTGCAGCTCTGGCCTCAAATCAGCAAACAAAATATTGCTCTTATTTAAATAAATCCACAGGGAAATAAAGCACTGATATGAGCCACGTCCCTCAAGAAACAGAGAGGACAGGAAGGGTGTTTCACATAAACAGAAATGAAACAAAATTATTGTAAAGTAACATATACTATTTAAATAACTATATGTATAATACTGAAGGGGAGTGAAATCATCTTCCTTTTTTCAGATCAAATTGTTTCTTAAATACAGCAAGTTCCTTCTATTGCTTTGTAATGCAAATGATACCCCTGCACTCCTAATTTCTGATACTAGCATATGAGAATTTAATATTCCATAATGAAAAATTAGTGACATCACATTTATTTTGATGTAATAGGGTAAAATTTTAAGAAGAATTTAAGTGAGTTGGTCTTAAAAACATAGCATTGAGAGTCAGTGAGATTCACAGGCCCGTCCCCTGTTGAAATGTTGAGTCCAAGTTACCCTCTGTTTTAAACATTCTCATTATAGGCAAAATGGGCAATCGAGCGTGCTAAAATTTTCCAGACCCATGCAAAGATGTGCATATAATTAAGTCCATCTGTTGACCTGAAATTGGAAATAATTTCATTTGACTTATGAACAACAATTATTCCCTTGGTACATTGATAACATACAATACTATAACCTCATTTAAAGGGAAATAAATTATAGTTTGGGGATTACTCTTATTAAATGTTTTTACTTACACAAAAATTTTATTTTCCACATTTAAATTCCTTTCTTTTTAGTTTCTACAGATATAAATTGTTTCCTTATACTTACATTAATATATTAAATGTAAAAATGAAAATGGTGTGAGATCATGCTAGCCAAGAATGATTGCAACTCTGCCGTATCCTTGTTAACTGTAAAAATTTCAGTCTCTAGTCAGGCCCAGAACTACATCAGCTGGATGAGGTAAGAGCTTCGCATGCCATATCACAGCTTGTTCCAAAGCAGAAATGAAGCCAACTGGAACAGAAAAATCAAGGTTGCTAACACTTATGCTACCAAGAGAAAATACAGTAAGTGGTTGAGATGATTCACAACTAAGTAACCCAGCACTATACTAACATGATACACACATGAGCCTTCCACCTAAAAATACAAGCTTTAGTACTCAAAACATAGGAAAATACCTTATTACTGTCTCTAAATAACTTGTGTCCTCTCCAGTTATTTAAAAGTTCACCTATTCAAATGTGACCAACTCAAATATGTGAATTCTCCCTTCCTGCAGATACCAACATTTGCTTAAAAACCATATAGGGAAAAAAGGCAAAACCAATCAAAAAGCCAACTGCTGCACCCAAAACCACATCCAAACACCAAAAAACCCTATACCACCACAACAAAAACCCCCAAACACCCCCTCTTCCCCCAACCAAACACAAAACCAAAACCAAACACACACATACAAAAAAACCCAACCCCACACCAACAAAAAAACCAAAACCCAAACCACCCTAAAGGCTAAACACCAAAACCCTACCAACAGAAACACACACCAAAAAAATCCCCACTGAGAATAAAACACCAAAAAGCCTCCTGCAAACCGCACACACCTTGATGACGATGTGTTTTTAACCCACCTATCTTAGGTTTCTCACCAGTATACTCAAATTCTGCAAGCATGTGCCAAAAAATTCCTGTTTTTTTTTCCTGAAGACTGACTTAATTTCCTTTCCAGCACTGGACAAGAAACTAACTTGCATATATTTGCACATTAATGGGAACAATTGCGGAACATGAAATACATAAATAACAAAAATCACTTGGACTGCAGAGGAGTCAGTCCTCCTTCGTGAGCAAAGTGGTACTTATTTCAAAACATAAACTGATGTACAACTTGCTGTCAGAAGGAAAACATTTATAATACAATCATAGAATACCAGGTGGGAAGTGACCTCAACGGTCACCTGGTCCAACCATTCTAGACAATGGATGACCTATGCTAGGTGTCCCACCACCCTGTTCAGCTGAATCTTAACAGCATCCAGTGCTGAGAATCCATCACTTCTTCCCTGCAGAGATTATTCCAATGGCTGATTGCTCTCACTGGGAAAAATTTTCCTCTTTTGTCCAATTGGAATCTCTCCAGGATTAACTTGCACCAATTACCCCTTGTCTTTCCCATGTGACTCCCTGCAAAATGGATCAAACTCCTGTTCGACCATCTAAGATGCAACAAGAGTTTACATTAACGTAAGATTTCATTTCTTCACTGAAACAAGAACTGACACGCTTGCTTTTACGAACGGGGTTAACTGGATTAATTTCTTTCATCTGCCATCTATGTACATACATTAAAAATACATGATAAAATCCTGTATTGAAGTAACAGTAACAGCTTCCCTTGAAACCACAACAAAATCAAGTTATCCTCCCAGAACTTAGCCTACTAATGGTAGGAAAACAAATACAAAGACTCGTCGTGGTTTCATTTAAACCAAAATGTTTATTTTATTTACAGGCTATAATTAGCTGGGGTGGAGGGAGGGATATCTAACATCTTTTTTTAGATTACCTATCAAGAGGACACCATCCTCTTGAGATTGCCAACCATGAAAAAGGGAAAGACAATAGACAAAGCTTTTTTTACTTCATGTTCAGTCACCTTCTGTGAAGGGAATTCAACAGAAGGAAAACCAAAGAGGTAAAAAATTCAGCAATCACTGCGTTGAAATTCAACATAAACAACCAATACATCAGAGCAGTAATGGACAAACTTCTAGGATAGCTCTGCATAGGATGGATAACTTTGCCTTCACCACTTCAGAGCGTTTGAAAGATGCATTCACTCAATTAGATGAGGTGTGCAAAAACTGTAGTGACAGATGCCACATGAGTATCTGGACAAACATCAATCATATCCACCTGGCTGAATGAACTACAGGGCCTGAAGATGCAGATTTATCTCTGTAGTCAGGCAGCCACTCAAATACATTGCAACTTCAGGAACTCCTCCAACAGCTAAGTAACTGAGCATGAACAGTCCTCTAACAAATGCTGAATCATCTCCACACATCACATCTATAATGAACATTTTGCACCAAGACCTTAAAAAACAGCTCACTTCTACTGAGGTCACTGGATTTGGACAAGAAGAAGGAAACGCAGTACCCTGACAGCTATAAAAATGAGTTATATCCTCCAGAATGGAAGGATAGAACCACAATTTTCAGAGTAACAATGTGAATAAAAGTATTGCAGCTCTACTAACAGGACACCTTATTGTGAAATGCTCTCATCCAAGCTGGTTTTTCTCATGTAACATGACTGTGAAGCAGTGATTCTCTTCAGAGAGGCTACAAAACAGATGACTAGGATTTCACGTTAAATGCAGTCATGTATCTATATTGCTATACACGCTATCAAAACAGTAGGATCAAAGTGGGTTTTTTTTTTGTTTTCAATTCCAGTTATAAGAACTGTTGTAGGAAAAACAAAGTGAAGTCACTATATATACTGACTTGCTGCTGTTCCAGTCTGTTCCTATCCCTTTCCTGAAAATACCAGTCTTTTATTCAGCTACACCCCTTGAACACCATAAACTTCCAGATTCCCAAGGCTGGTTAGTGACTAATTTCTCCTTGGACTTCTCATCTCTGCAGCCCAGTGCTGCATCTGACACAACCCACTGACTGTCACATTTTCCCCAAGTTTTCATAAGATAGTAACTCATTGTCCTTCACCTCCCCCTTGCATCTGTCTCATCACAGATAGAACCATCTTGTCTTTCATACCTCCCTCCCTTGCCCTCTATGCCTTGGTCTTATCTGGAAACTATGGGTGAAGCACGTACCCTCCCATGGCAGTACTCCGGAAACAAGGCTTTAAATATCTTACATAGATTGAGTCTAGTACTATTTCTTTGGACTTTACAGTCAAATGAGAAATACTAAGAGAAATAAAAGCATCTGGCATTAGGTATGAACAGACTGGAAAGGCATTTGCCACAGTGCAAGTTTCAAGAAACATTTTTAAAACCAGGATTTGAATATGAGACAATTCTAGCTACGTGAGAACATGTAAAGAGTCAAATTGACACAAGCAGAGACAAATTCCAAACAAAGAGAATCATTATTCAGTCGCACATAGCTATGTCTCTTGTATTTAAAAGGCAGCATGACAAGGTTTATCGACTGATATTAACAGAAAAAGAGTGACTTACTTGACACGTGACAGTGAAATTCAAGTACTGCTAAAAGTATCAGAAACTCAGTAAAACTCCCTACTTAAAATAGGGATGTATGAAAAATAAGACTAGATAGCATTTAAAACTGAAGTGATGTGCAAAAAGCTGACAGGCAGAATTACTGGATATGTCAGTCAGGATGCACACTAGTGATAGTCATGTCATTCACAACAGTAAAACTGGATTGCCAAGTCAACTCTAGCTACTGCACAACTCATTTCTGTGACTGAGCAGAAATACTGAAGGAGCACCAGAAGTCACATTCTGGCAGCCTAGGGAACATCGCCCCTCATGCTAGTTAATTCTTCGCTCACTCTAGTCAGGCATTCAGTGTGTATGTTACCTCACAAGTGTACTGTTTCCACTAAGAAGGGAATCAATGCAAATACAGCAGACTACCACCTCACTTTAAACAAGCTTTAGACATGTATAACCATGGTCCTCCAGCCCCACTATCAGCTCCCAGTCTGCAACTAGTGCTTCTCCCCAGGAAATAAGCTCCAATTTCTCTTCTCCTTCCCTAGGTAATCACAGAAGTGGAAACAGGACTAAAAACATGAGAGAATGGCCAACCAATTTCCTCGGTGGGAAAATATAAAACAAGAACTGATCATTTTAAGTATTCTCACAGGATATGGCAAACATGTAGCTGCTGCTTTTGCCACACAACAGTATCAGTGAGTTCCAAATTCTCCCCCCACATCCCCACAATTTGACAGCCAAATTCCTGTTACTGTTACCTTCTGTTCAGGTTCCTGCTGAACCACCTCCCTAGGAACTTCTACAAGGTTCCAATAAACTAAAATTCCCTTCCAATTCTTTCCAGAAACATATGTGTATATTTTACTGCCAAATGGAAAAAAAAAACCTAAAAGCCTCAGCAGCTAAGCAGCTGATCAAGCTTTCAGTGCAATGCTTCTCAGCAGCTCTTCTGATTCTTGCTGAGGTTCAAGATTTTACCCACCTTTCTCCCGTGTTGCCAAAACCTTTTAGCCTGCCAATACCTAGCTTTTCTTATCTTCTTTATGAGGAAATGCTTTTGCTAGGGGAGGTAACTTGTACCTCTTAGTGAAGATGGATAATGAGTAATTAAGGATTCATCTTTTCTCCAGTTTCATCCAGCTGTCAAAACTGCTAACGCTTTTTCGTATTAAAACACAATGTATTAGAAAAGCATGAAATCTGAACGCAAACACTTCTCAGTTTCAAAGCTGCTAGGTGTATTCTTTCACAAGGCTCTGCTTGTTCCATGAATATGAGCCTAAAAGTGCTGATAAAACTTCCACTTTTTTTTGCATGAATATTCATTATACTTGTTTATGTACTGAGCCAAAGGAAGAGGTAATGCTAGACTTTCTATATTGAATATGCCATGAAACCTTCATATTGAATGATCACTAAAGCATATTAGAATTCAGCCAGCTGCACAGTGACAGCTTATCTATAGCAAGTGTTAATAATCCTTCTTCCTTCTCACAGTAAACCACCATGGGTGTGTGATCCTACCACCACCTTACTGACCTGTTTGGTGCAGGTGATCTCTAGCCAGCTCAAATAAACGCATATGCATGTTTGTGATGGGGTTAAAGGAGCCACAGGCTAGAAGAATGAGAGGTATCCTGCTCTTCATTCTGACATCAAAACATCAAAGCTCCACCCTAAAGAAAAAAGATAATATTACAAAGACAAACTTGACAAAGAGCAGTCTGCCCGCTGTGTATTCCTAGAACATCATATCAGATCATTCCTCTTTATCATCACAGCATACAAGAAGCACTACCTCAGAAACATGTGTTCTCTCATATTCATTAGCATCACTGAACAGTTTGGGTTGAAAGGTACCTTCAAAGCTCATCCAGTCCAAACCCCTGCAATAAGCAAGGACATCTTCAACTAGATCAGCTTGCTCAGAATTGGGAAAGCATCAACAAATTCTGTTTCTCCACATACAGAGATGGATAGAAAGTATTTCTAGAAATTCATATTGTCACTATTATTAAAACCAGACAGATTTCTTATATGGCTTTTAATTTTTACCTTTTTTTGGCAAAAAACCAAGGGTTTGTTCTGTCTTGCTGTCAACCCCCTATTAATAATTTTGGAACCTGCGGACCTGCTACAAAAGCAGAGTTTTCTTAAAGTAAGTTCTTAAAAAAGACCTTTGCAACATATGACAAAACCCCACATGCCATGTCCAAATTTACAGGTCTGACTTCCTTACCTGGTGGCCAGCCAGCAAATGTGCTAGCCAGACTACCAACAATTGCCTGCAGAGCTTCCCTGTTGATGGCAGAGCAAGTGATGGTGGGTCAACAACAGGGAGTAGCAGGGAGTAGAAACAACTGCTGTTAGAGGAAAAGACCACAAACCTTATAAAGCTATGAATGGCATGAACGGGTGGGGAGCAGTGCTGTTAGGACCCTTGCAGGTGCATTTACAAAGAACCCTTATATAATTCCGCTAAAATGTCAGTCATCTCAGTAACAATGTGGCAGCAAGCAGTTTTAGTCACTGTGCTTGGAGTGACTTCAGAAGTGATCCAGAATATATCTGGGATAATAAAACCAGCTGTCCCCCACATACGTATCTGTGAATTCAATTTTTTGATCATAGAATCACTGGATAGTTTGGATTGGAAGGGAACTTAAAGCTCATCCAGTTCCAACCCCCTGCTACTGGCAGAAACACCTCCCACTAGACAAGGTTGCTCTCTCTCCATACGATACGACATCTTTGCAATGCTCACACCTGTATACCATACATACACCATTTCTCTTCCCTTCCCCTGGTCTCCAGCTATATCCATCCAACGTGTAACAGTCTTCCTGTAGAACACACATGCATCCCAAACTTCAGTCATCATTCCTGGGTTAACAGACTGAATCCAGTAAGGATTCTGTGCTATGTTTAGCCAAATCCTGTCCTCCATCTGCAGCATACCAAAGCGCTCCCTCTTCACTGTTCTCAGTCCTTGTTTCTCCTTCCCTATGCACCATTTTCTTACTTAAGAAAAAATTAACAGCAGTGACTAAATCAATATCAAGTTGATATTTTATAGCTGCCAACTCTATCTATTCATTTACAGAGGATTTATGACTCTGAAGACTAGGACTGTACTATTTAACAGCATTCAGTGCATCTAGAGACAAGTTTTAATACTTTCATGTCACTACTGTGACATGCTGGCAGTTGGAAAACTTTTTATAGAGAAGATTCTTCAAAGCATATGTCTTACCTGTACCATGAACATCTAGTACTGAATATACATATTCATAATATGAGTACTCAAATATCTGAGTACATATTGAGTACATAAAGACTCTTTTATAATGCTTTCAGTTTAATTTACTCCTTTACTATGACGGATACAAGAAATGAAATGTATTGGGTAAAAAAACACTTGCTACCTTGAAAGTTTGATATAATTTTAAGGTCTACAATTACAGCAGCTATAGGGAGCACATTTCACAGCACTCTCCACTCTGATTTACTATTGTACAGACACTAACAAACTCATACATTACAGGTTCTTAAATCAGAAAAGAAACCAAACTCACTGTTCTTTTTTTTCAATATCAACAGTTCTATTCATGTATCTTCATTGTATGGAGAAGTCTTTTTGCCTTGAACCAGGAAGCCAAACATTAGTATCTGTGATTAACTCAGAAAGAAATCACTGCTAGACCATTTAAGTGTTCTCCTATAGTCCCCATTTTGCTAGATATATTCCATTGCCACAGATTAGTGGATGCTAAACTCTCGATGATAAATCGATTTAATTGCAGACCAAGAATCTTCTAGGAGCAGAAACTTTTTACAATAAAAATGTAAAAACAAACCACAGCATAATGCTCTTACCTTTCTTTCTCTGGGAAAATGGTGGAATAATCCCCATTTTCTAGAAAAGGCTAACTGCCCATAGAACATTCAGCAGTACTTAGCACAGAGCTCTGCAGCACTTTAATCTGGTTAGAAAACTAACGATACTACAATTACCCAGAACTATGCAGAAAATAAGTCAAAAAAGAGCAGCTTGGCAAGCTGTGTTTGCTCTCAGCCTATTACACAACACCAGTCCCTGCACCTTTTGGTAGCATTTCAGCAAGGTCAAGAGAAGGCCAGCAGTTCCTGGCATCATCTGGAATTTGCTGCAGTATGGTCCTTATAATTATTTTTCCAATAATCCCTAGTGATTGCTGTAACTCTTACATTCAACTCCTTTCCTACTTCTTGTGCCCTTATCGCACATGAATAAGCTTTTTCTTCTACTATAGTTGTATAAACTTCCTATTCCAAGTAACCAACAATCACCCTTCTATTTGCATGTATGAGTCAGTCATCCACAAAGAAAAATATACTGGTTTCTAGAAAAGGAGGTCACATGCAGCACCCAACAGAAGGTGGCTATTTTGAAGCAAACAAACTGCTGATTTAATAAAAGCACCAACTTGTCTGTCAAAATAAACCATTACTAAAACTTCAGAAATTCCTCTTGAGAAGCCGTTCAGTGTTTTTTCTTCTATCAACCTCTTCTGCAGTTTTCTTACAATTAGTAAAATACATTTAGCAGAACCTAAGGCAAATCTAGTAACAGAAATACAGCTTCCACACAAATGGTAGATACCTAAATAACTAAGAAAACAATTGCTGAAATCTGAATCTTATAGAGGTGGCAAACTAATTAACCCCCTCAAAGTACTACTGCAGAACGCTCAGATGCAAAATAATCATATATAGCAACCACAGGGTAAGGCAGGATTCACAGAACATCCAGCAAGACCGAAGGTAAAACAACAACATCCATAATCCCACTGCTTGCCTCTCCGTTTGAAAAAGGAGCTATATGCTAACTGCTGTGTTAGGAGCAACTAACTCCTGACACTTGTTATGTAGTTAGAAACGAACATCTCTCTGGCTCTACAGATGCATGTACTTCTAGCAAAGTAAGGAATTAAAATAAAAGTAAAAACATGGCTAAGAAGACTTCCTGTGCTTCAGAGTTTACCTGACCACCTTGGGAAGCAAGAAGGAATTCTTCTGCAGCGCATAAGGCTGCTCAGTTTGTTAAGCACATGATAGGTCTTCTCCTTTTCCTGTGAAATTCTGCTGTTAGTTACTGCCAGAGGCAACAAACCCAACTGAGCAGCTAAGGTTAATGAGTATATAAAGCTACTGTTAGAAACAAGATGCCCTCCTACACCAATTCAGTAGCATCCAGGTGCCCCTAAGTGTAACATACTTCACAGAGAGAAGGCTATCTGCAATTAAATTTTTAAGCCATCAAAAGCAAAAGCATTATGTGCCTTTCTTAGGCTAATATATGAATTTGCATACTAACACTGAGGATTTTGCACAGCAATGAGGCAGTTTTAGTAAACGGCTCCTAGGCTTAAGAGCTCACATTGCTTGCTATCTTTATATTGTAATTAAATGATCATTTTAGATTTCCACTTGCTTCATCTTGTACAACCCAAGAAACCAAGGAAATTATACAAACATGTATGTGCCCTGCCCGTTGTACAAAATGTCCTGCTTGCTCTTTAAGAATGTCTTGGCCGCATGGGGATTTCCATCTATTCAGAGAGGTACGATCCTGAAACAATTACAATGAAATCAGGTACCTAATTACAACTGCAATCACACTGCAACTATCAAGTGTTAATTTTCATAAGTCCTTACAGCAACTGAAATACACATTCAAAACCATGCAGTTACAGCATCTTCAGAACCTTGACTGTTCCTCCATTGCATAAGACGGCTCACTCAGTGGGCTGGACAGTCTGACACGGCACAGCATTCCTTCTGTTTGTGAAGATCTCCATTACAGTTTGTAAGCCTATATGGCTAAGTTTTAGTTCCTCCTGCTTACTGTCAAGAAATCATCACTGCAATGAAATCAATTTGCCTCATTGAAGTATTTCCAAAAGTAGAACATCAAATAGCTCTGACACCTACCGTGTCCTCAGTGCCGTGCTGTGCCGTGCCCCCAGTGTCCTGAGCTTCTCAAAGGCCTACTAGACCATCTGAATGCTAATTAGCTTATCATAGCTACGCTAAATTCTAACATTTGTGTTAGAAAAGAGTGAAATTTCGGCGACCCAGATGGGACCCGCGGGCATTGCTGAGGCAGATAGCGCCTCGATCCTGCTCCAGCCGGCACCGAGAAATTCTTGGGGAGCCATCAACCGTGACCGATCTCCGCTGCTCACGACGGACCTCTGATACGGTAAGAAAGGTGCTTTTTTTTCTTTCAGATTCGGACACGGTGCCAATCTCTGGTAAAGTATGGTTTGTAAAGCCCGCCTGTAAGACATGGTGAAAAGCTGCATTTGGTTGGGCTAGTGGTAAAGCCTGCCTGTTAGACGCGGCGAAAGCTGCACTTGTTTGGGCAGGGAGCTCCCGGGGTAAGCCTAGGCGCCGTCCGTTAGACAGTAGCGAAAGCTCTGCAGGTTCGGCAAATCTGGTCTGGTTTTTTGTTTGGTTTCATGCTGTGGGATCAGCATCTGTCTAGCTAGACATTGTAACTCACTGGTGTGCGTGTGGGTGTGTGTGGTGTGAAATAAACTTGTTTCAGAGATCTCTTTGTATTTGTAAAATGTCGTCGATCCCTAAGTCGTCCCCATGAGGCTGTCTTTTAAGCCACTGGAAGGAGGGTCGATTTGGGCAGAGTATGAAGAAAAGTAAACTAATTGATTACTGTAATGTATGGTGGACACAGTATGAACTAGAGGATCAGGAGAAATGGCCTGAAAATGGGACTTTGCAGTACAATACTATATCGCAGTTGATGCTATATTGTAAAAGGGAAGGAAAATGGGACGAGATACCATATGTAGATTTTTTCTTTGCTTTAAGAAATAATGATGAGTGGCAAAAATCCTGTGGAATAATGGTTGTAAAGGTAAATGCTAATGAACAGTGTAAGGGATGTGTTACCGAAAAAATGTATGAAGCGCCTTGCTGTAGACAATAGTTTACAACACCAGAGGGATATTGAAAGTCTGCATTTGGCAGTTGCTCCATCAGCCCTGCCAGCATTAGATACAGAAAGGGGGGGGGGGGGGGGGGGGAAGAAGGTGATAGTGATAGTGATCTTGAGAGTCTGGGTAGTTGTGAGTGCAAAAGAGATCAGAAAGTAGACACACACACACACACACACACACACACACACCCTCCGGTTTCACACAGAACTCGCTGGAGGGGAAATCAGGAAGGCAAAATGCAAACCCAGGTACCTAAAGCAGTGCTGGTACCTTTAAGACAGGGGGCGGGCGCTGAGGGCCCGGTGTATGTTAAGGTACCCTTCTTGCCTGGAGATTTAGTCATCTGGAAACAATCAGCAGGAACATATAGAGAAAACCCTGATAAAGTAGCCCGTGTAATAAAAATGATTATGAAAACCCAAAATCCAACTGGGGGAAAAAGAAGTGAAATTTTTAATAGACACAGGGGCTACCTATTCAGTTTTAAATGATTTACATGGGAGGTTAAGGGGAAAGAACTATGACAATTGTGGGAGCCACAGGGAAGGAGGAAATACGGCCATTCTTGCAGCCCCTAGATCTGCGATTTAGAGGGAAGGAATTAACACATGAATTTCTGTATGTACCTGAATGCTCCATTCCCCTTTTAGGACGGGACTTATTGGCCAAATTGGACGCAAAGATCATTTTTCAGAATAGTGAATTAATAATGCAAATCCCTGAATCAAAAGCAGGACAGATCTTGGTTCTTACAGAAAAGTCTATTGCTCAAATCCCAAAGGAGGTAGAAGAGGCTGTAATACCGGTAGTTTGGGAAACAGAAATCCCGGGAAAATCAAAAGCAGCTCAACCAGTAACAGTGGAACTAAAAGATGGAGTTAGGCCAGTAAGAATAAAACAATATCCACTGAAGCTAGAAGCAACATATGGGATTATAAAAATAATTGAGAAATTTTTAAAATATTGAATTTTGGAAGAATGTGAATCAGAATATAACACTCCAATTTTTCCAGTAAGAAAAACAAATGGTGAATATAGGTTAGTACAGGATCTGAGGGCAATAAATGAAATAACAAAAGATATCCACCCAGTAGTAGCAAATCCTTATACATTGTTAACATCTGTGAAGGAAAAATATAAATGGTTTACAGTGATTGATTTAAAAGATGCCTTCTTCTGCATTCCTCTTGATAAAAGTAGCAGGAAACTGTTTGCATTTGAATGGGAAAACCCACAGAACAGATGAAAGACACAGTTAACATGGACCAGACTCCCACAAGGATTTAAGAACAGCCCGACTCTCTTTAGGAACCAGTTGGCCAAGGAACTGGAAACATGGGCTACTCAAGGAAAGGTACAGGTGCTGAGATCACAACATCTTTTATTGCAATATGCAGATGACATCTTTATTGCAACAGAGCAGGAGTCATTATGCATAAAGGTGACTATTGAGATCCCGAATCAGCTAGGCCTAAATGGTTATAAAGTCTCAAATGAAAAGGCACAAATTGCATGTACAACTGTATTGTATTCAGGATGTAAAATTTCGCAGGGACAGCGAAAGCTAGGGATAAATCGCAGAGAGGCAATTTGTGCCATTCCAGAACCACGGAACCTACAGGAGTTAAGAACATTTTTGGGCATGGCAGGGTGGGGCAGATTGTGGATAATGGACTATGGACTCATTGCTAAACCCCCGTATGAAGCCCAGAAATCACCTGCTTTTGTTTGGGATAAACCACAGAAAGAGGCCTTTAAGAAACCGAAGGAGGCATTAATGAAATCTCTGGTACTGGGACTCCCAGATTTGACAAAGGATTTCAGTTATTTGTCCATGAGAGACAGAGATTAGCGCTGGGAGTGTTAACCCAGAAACTTGGAAGCTGGAAAAGACCAGCATGATACTTCTCAAAACAACTGGAGCCAGTAAGTGCGGGATGGCCTTCATGTTTAAGAGTGGTAGCAGCAACAGGAGGCCAGAAAACTGACTTTGGGAAAACACATTGAAGTGTTTGTACCGCACATGGTAACAACTGTCTTAGAACAAAAAGGGGGGTATTGGTTATCCCCTAGTAGAATGATGAAGTATCAAGCAATTTTGACAGAACAAGATGATGTGAGTTTAAAAAACCACTAACCTGTTGAATCCAGCAGCTTTTCTGGAAGGAGGAACCCTTGAACATAACTGTATAGAGGTTATCGAGCATACATATGCAACCAGGACAGATTTGAAAGATATACCTCTTGAACAACCAGACTGGGAACTTTTCACAGATGGAAGCAGCTTTGTGGAAAACGGCACATGGTATGCAGGATATGTCGTAACGACGCAGCAGGAGGTAACTGAAGCAAAAGCATTAGTCCCTGGTGGCCCTGATACCTCTCAAGGTAAGCCCACTCCATACCTATCTCCCACAAGCTCCAAAATATTCAAAGGAAGATGAAAGACTAGCAGGACTTTTGAAAGCACAAAAGAATTCTGAGGGGTGGTACACAACAACAACTGGACAAGTAATAGTACCCCCAGCAATAATGCGAAAAATCCTACAAACTGAACATCAAAAATGTCATTGGGGTGCAGAAGCATTTGTAACTTATTTAAAACGAGGAACAATTTCCACACAGATGCTAACTATGGCAAAAGTTGTAGGGTCAAAATGTGAAATTTGTGTGAAAAATAACCCAGTGGTGAAAAGACAAGCGGAGATGGGAAGGATCAGGATAGGGGTAGAACCAGGAGATTATTGGCAGGTTGACTTTGTGGAACTATCAAAGGCACAAGGGTATAAAATATCTATTAGTAGGGGTTGATACTTTTTCTGGATGGCCGGAAGCCCTTCCCTGTCGCACCAATCAGGCAAAAGAAACAGTGAAATGGTTGCTCAGAGAAATCATTCCACGATTTTGAGTCCCTTTAGGGATATCATCAGATAGGGGCCCACACTTTGTTGCAACCATAGTACAAGAAATTAGTAAACTATTAGGGATATCATGAAACTTACATACCCCTTGGAGGCCTCAATCTAGTGGACAAGTAGAAAAGATGAATCAAACAATAAAGAGCAACAAGGGAGGGATTCAGAGACATGAATTTGCAGTTACAAGCAACAACTAAAA